TGTGTGTGTGTGTGTGTGTGTGTGTGTGTGTGTGTGTGTGTGTGTGTTTAAGCCCTGATTTGGTAGAGGCACTACTGATTTTTCACTACTCACATCCAACGCTTTCCCTGTCACAATCCTTAATGTGGTGTTTTCAGAGCTGGTTAACCTCAGGAGAGCGGCCTGGCCGTAAGGATTAGGCTTTGATGCCTGGAAGGAAATGGTGCAGGTGTCTTTGTTGACAGTATCCAGGCTATCCAGATTAATTTGTTTATCTCTCCCAGGATTATTTTCCCCTTTCTAGCAAAGGTCTTTGCTAAGGCTTGTTGATGACCTTCAACTTCACCTTAATGGAGAGAGTTCAGAGAACAATAAAGTGAGAGATTTTAAACTAGATTCTCTTCATCTTGAATGAGCAAAGACAGACAGATTAAGGATTCAAAGGTTATAAAACCCATATCAGTGATCTTGATTTTTCTCCACCCTTAAGGCTTGTGCACATAAAAGAACAGCTTCTTCTCACTGATAGATATTGAATTCCCAACCTTGCTACCTGCTGCTGTCAGAGAAAATTTCATTTTTCACTGAGATGCAAAATAGACTCTCTCTTGAGTCCATTTAGCCATCTTTGTATCTATCATAAACAGCCTGTGGGAGAGAATGCAAACGCCCCACCCAATGCCTCCGTGTGGTATGGGCAAAGCTAAGCAGCCTTCCCTGGAGAAAGACCATATTACTTGACCACGGAGCCCGAGAGAAATAGGGACAGCACGAGAAGAAAGCAGCCTGGAGGTGAACCAAGGAGCAAAAGGTCACATTTCATATTCTCAAGGGCTTTTGTGTCACAGATTTGAGGGTCTCCTGGCCAGATTCAGGCACTGTCCTGCACGCCCTACAGAGCATCTGTCTGTTCCTGTATTAAGCTGGTGCTTAATACACACAGCTAGTTTCTCTTCTGTTGTGTGTTATTTTAAAGGAGGCAAGACTAATTTTTTAAAGGCTACATGACCTAAAAAAGTCTACAAAACACTAATATAGGAAATAAAATAGCAAGGTTGTAGCATATGATAGAAGTCAAAAAGCTCAATATTTCCATAATGATAATAATTAAGTATCAGAAAATGGTCTTCCTCCTCCCCTTCCATCTAACCCTAACTTATCAGGTCTCATAAGGAGTGGCTGCATTGCCCTCCTCTCTGGCAAGGCTGCTCCCCCCTCAGGGGGAGGTGATCAAAGAGCCAGCCAGTGAGTTCATGTGGGGCATGGGAGGAGATGAGGAAAGGAGGGTGGGATTGGGAGGGAATGAGAGAGGGGGCTACAGCTGAGATACAAAGTGAATAAATTGTAATTAATATGAAAAATAAAAATTTAATTAAATAAAAAAGAAAATGGTCTTCCAAAATCCTGTTTATTCACAATAGCATCAAAGATAATGCATTTAACCAAAACCAAAAGAAAATTTGTACATTGTTACCCACAAACCTTTGCTGAGAGAAATGAAACAGAATATTTAACAAATGGGTACAATGCACAGTGCTCATGAATTATAACACAAAACTGTGTTACTATTACAGTTTTTCCCTAAGATAATATGCAGACTTACTATAACTGCTGTCAAAGTTTCTTTAGGCTGCTTAAACACTAGCTATTTTAAGGTTGGCATGCAAAGCAATAGATTTTACTATGACATTTTTATAGAAATGTGTTATTGTTCATGGTTCTTATTCAGCTCCTCACCATGCTCTTCCTGGTCCTCTTTACATCCTCAAATATTTCCTCTTTCTGATTCATGTCATAGAAACTGCTCAACCCCTTTTCTATCTTTCTTATTTTAAAGCTCTGTCCTCTCTTTTTAAAGCTTCTTTCCTTTCCTTTTCCTGAATAATCCTCTTTCTACTTTCAAAATAAACACGGGTGTGCAGGCATGCGTGCGCGCACACACACACACACACACACACACACACACACACACACACACACACTCCACACCTAGATTGCGAATACGAGAGCGAAAGGAATTGTCGTTCTAAGTCTAGTTTACTTTGCCTAACATAATGATTCCTAGTTCTATCCTTTTCCTGTACACAGTATTATTTTATTCTTTATAGCTGAACACAATTCTGTTACATACTACCTGACTTTCCAGAGGTTATCAGCTAAAGTGCTGGGGCTTGTCTTATGATGAAGCTTGTAGGTCTTCAGGGTCCCTCAGTGTGGCAGGATCTTTGGTAATATCCTGCCAGATTCCTGGGAAGAGAGCACTCACCTGAAAATGGTGCCGTTCTGCTCAGGGAGGGCAGCTGGATCTGGCTTTCACTTTCTGAAACAGGTCCCTTTATGATGCTGCTCAGTAGGCGCAGGGAGCAGTGGGAATCCCAGCTGATGCTCTAGGGATCTGGCAGACAGAGGAGTGAAATGCTCATGTCCACTCATGTGCTGCTCTCACAGGCTTTCTGCTTTTCCTGCCCAGGGAAGCAATCTCAAAGGGCCAAGGTCTCTGTCGCCATTTAGGCAAATGACACAACAATCGTGGGCCTACTCCTCTGAGCTAATCTAATTTCCATAGCCAGCCACAAGGTTAGCATTTCCTCATTATTTGATCTGATAGGCACAGCAGGCTAAGTGCGTGAATAGTCATGATCATTGAACTCTTGGAGTTCACATCAGCCTTACTTGAAAGAGTTTCATTATTGTCTTCATACTCCCTGCTACTTCTCTTGCAGTTTAAGCATAGCCCCTGATATGATGAAGCCATTTCTTACTATGCCTGTGACATGGGTAATGATGGCTTTGAGGTATGTATTACACAGTGAGAATGCTGGATGGAGAATCTCATGTATTATTTATTTATTCACACACAACAAGTGTTTGCCAAGAGTCTGTAATCTCATAAGCAAAACAGAGAAAATTCACAGGGTTATGAAGTGTAATTTTTAATGAGATATACAGAAACTAAATTAAATTAACATATAAACTAAATAAAATGCTGGATAGTTATTAGGAGAAAACAACAAGGACAATAAGAAACATATTAATCTCAGGAGGAGGAAGTTGATACCTCAGGTGAGGGTGCCTGGTGGAGATACTTGGAGAGAGATATTCCAAGTGAGGGATATATCCATGGAAATATCTGGGGAAGATCATTTCAAGAAGGATCAGAGATGGCAAATAAGTTTCTCAAGGAGCAATTGTGCCTAGTGCTTAGGAACAAGGCAGGCAGTGTACTTGAGGGAGAGAAGAGGGAGAGGGAGGGTGGAATAAAGGAAGATCCTGTGAACTGCCCGTATAGGAACTTAAAGCACCTAACAATCATTTCACACTCTGCCCCCAGACTTTGGAGAGGCTGTAGGTCTTTATACAGAGCTTGATGTAATTCTACAGACTCGTCCTCTAGAACCGTCTCTACCACGTGGGCTTGTTCTTATTGATCCATCATTGTCCATTCTGGACTCTCACTGTTTCTTTATACTGACTTCATACTTTAAAACCTAGCTAAGGCACCACATTTTCCAAGAAGTGGTGTTCCTAAGCTCTCTGATATTTCTTCTCCAGTAACATGTGCCCTCCTTCATACCCAGCCAGGTAGGCCTTTGTCTTTGGTTGGTATTTATCTTGCCTTGTCTCCTATTCTTTCTAGGATTGCCTCACAGATCAATCTTATCTTGTTATTGACATTCTAAAAACAAAAATGTAAGTATTTTCTTGTTAGGTATCAAGATTTATTATGTACCTACATTCAGAAATGTGTTTATTCACTTATTACATAGAAGATGTTTTTTCAATACTGGTTTTATGTAGGCATCACATTGAGTCTAGGGGATACAGACATGAATATAATCAAGTCATTACCCTAAGATACAAAAATAATATCTATACACTCTTTTTAAAAATTTATTTATTTATTAATTACAGTTTATTCACTTTGTATCCCAGCTGTAGCTCCCTCCTTCATCCCCTCCCAAGTCTACCCTCCATCCCTCATCTCCTTCATCTATACACTTTTGACATAATATGAAATAATAACAAATATCAGTGATTTTAACGAAAACTTGAATAGGAACATTAATTTAATCAGGGGTGGGTCCAAGAAAGACCTTTTTTTAATAGTTCACTTCATGTATAAGGGCATTTATAGGTATGTATGCTTGTGCACCTTGTGTCTGCATACCCCAGAAGAAGACATCAGGTCTCCCTGGAACTAGAGTTACAGGTGGTTGTAAGTTTCCATGTGTGTGCTGGGAATTAAACCCCTCGTCCTCTGGAAAAGCATCCAGTGTTCTCATTTGCTGAACCATTTCTCCACCTCTCCTTCCCAAGAAGAGAATTTTTAAGCAGAGATAAACCATAGCAGAAGAAAACAAAATTCTCTGAGTAGTGTTGTTGGAGCCATACGAAAAGAAAAGAGGATTGAGAAGGCAAATAGATGTGAGATAAAGATAAGCTGTGGACTCAAAGCTTAATTTTTTGGACTTAGGAAGGCTTAGAACAGTTCATATCAAGAACATTCTAAGTACATATGTGTATTAAGTTGAATTTCTAGAAGTTGTTGGAGGGATGCATTCCAGGAAGGTAAGGGTAGATGTGCTTATGAATTTAAACTTAAATTGTCTACTTTTTCCTTATCTCTTGCAGTTAATTCTTCAACCCATCTTGTCTAATTTTTCTTTTAATCATATTACCCATGTGACTGTTACAACTCTGGTTCCTAGGAAACTCTCTGACTCATTGTAGAGAACCAGCTTGGTCAGAGCATGCCATTTGCTCTCTAAATTAATTGTTCTCAGTGTCAAGTTGTCCATTCATAATCATGGATGCTTATGAGTTTCCAGGGATGTAGGACATTAGGGCTGTCCACAGGCTGTGTGTACATGTAAGCAGGGAAAATATCTCCAGAAGTGTCATCAAAATCAGAGTCTGACTTTTGAGATTGAGATTCTTTCTTTTCCCCATTAGAATTATTTCCTATTAGGAGAGGGAAATAGAATAAATAGATAAGGATGGAAGAGGAGGATGAAATGGAAAGATCAAATTAGAGGGAAGGGAGAGGGAAGTGTGGGAGAAAATATGGGAGAGATACCTAAAATTCAGGTACATTTGAGGGGGAGTACAGAAATCTAATAGAGTAGAAACTTCCATATGTGTATGTGTATATGCATATGTCTGAGGGAGACCTCAATGAAACCACCAGATAATGGGGAACAGAGTTCTGCCTGGCCACAATTAATACAATAATAAAAAGAAAAATATTTCTTTAATCTTTTGAGATTATAATAGAATTACATTATTTCCCCCTTCTGCTTTCTCTCTTTAAAGGCTCCCATGTACCTATTCTTGCTCTCTTTCAAATGCACGGCCTCTTTTTTCATGAATTGTTACATATGTATATGTATATTCTTACGCGCATAAATCCAACCAGGTCAGTCTGTACTCTTCTTACTTGCTGCATATGTTTTCAGGGTTGACCAGTTGGTATTGGCTAACCAATCAGTGTGCTCTTCCCCAATTTTAAGACTGAATGCTGACATCCTTTGCTCCCAGCTCAAGTCACTCCTTCTCTGTGTCTCACCACAGCTTTCTAAATCCACACTTCATGCAGTGAAGCAGATAAATCTAACATGTAAGCCCATATTCCCTGTCCTTTACATCTTTTCTTCTTAAAATTTCTTCTAAAAAGTTATTTTAGACTTTTATCTTTGCTTCATTATAGCTTATTACTGTATGAGGAGCATGATCCATGAGGTTCAGAGAACAGAATGGAAAGAAACAGAAATTGTGGTTTATTCAAAATACAAACCACCCATGCAAATGACTCCCTAACTTTTTTTTTCTTGTAACTCATGTTTATTAAGGATTTTACAAGGGAAGTTTTGTGTTGGAAAGGAGAGAAATAAAATTGGGTAAGGTGATACTAAGCCAAATGATCAAAGAGGGACACTTTGCATAGCATCTTTCAAAATGAGTTGTTTCATGAATAAATATCTAAGGAAACTCGAAGACTGCTGTATCTTTGTGTGCCATCCAAATGCTTATACATCTTCAAAGGTCTTATTTATTTGTTTGTTGGTTCAGCTGAGGTTAGTGGCAGTATGGAGCTAGGTGTAGCGGCACACACCTGTAGTCCAGGAACTTAAGAGGTTGGGGGAGCTCGCCATGGGGAATTTTGTGACACTATTTCACAACCAAACCAAAACAAAGCCATCAACAAGAAAGGGAGTCTAGAGACACAAGGAGCTGGACATTGTCACTAGAAGAATACAAACAGGACAGCAGTGAATAAGATATAGTTTCTGGTCTTGAGAAGAGAAGTCAGAGCCTGTTGTGGGGAAAAAAACCCCACAAAACTGTTGTAATAGAATCTGAAGAGGATCATCGTGAGAAGTGGGTACAAGGCGATGCTGGTGAATCTCAGTGGGGTAACTGGCAGACTAAAGGGGCCAGGGAGCCTTCTAAGTGGCAACGTGAGGAGAGTGATTGCTTCTGTTGGTGGAGGTAACAGCTTGTGGAAAGTCTTGAAGCGACAGGGAATACTCAGCTAGAAAAAAACCTATGTTTCTCATTGGGCTTGGAGTTTTATTACAGGAGATAAAGGATTCTTAAGAGGTAAATGGAGACAGGACAGACACAAACACACACACACACACACACACACACACACACACACACACACACACACTCTCCAAAACAAAACAAACTACACCCTCCTAGTATACAGTAGGTTCAGTGTTGGAAGTGCTAGGAATTAAAAACAAGGCAGGTAAGCATAGGAGTAAATACTGCCAGGAACTGAGGAAGAATTTTCATTGTTCTGATTATTATTCTTATAATGTTAGGAGTCCTGCAATAAGGTACACTTGAATAAGAACCTGCATGAAGAGAGGATGTAAGCTAAGCGATAGACTCTGGGGGAAAAGCATCATAGGCACAAAGACGGTGAGTGCAAAGTGCAATGCTGTGTAGTGTGCCTGATGACATAAGAAAATATCTGGAGGCTAATATAGATTTACTAGGGTGAATCAAAGGACAGCAGGAAATAGAACTGCAGTAGTGGTAGAGGCTCAAAGCATATATTGTTTCTAATATGCTACTACAATCACTGAATTTTTCTTCTTGGGTACAAAGAGCCCAGGAGAGTGTATTAAACAGGGAATGATAAGATCTGCCATGTGTACAGAAACAATCACTCCTACCTGTAAACTGTGTGAAGGAAGACTCTCCAGAAAGACATTCACAGGTGGCTGCAGGTTCAAGGTGATGGCTAGCCTTCTGATGGTAGCAGTGGAAGCTACGTTCAGTGGGGAACAGGAGTCACAGCAAGGCATAGGAGTTAACTACCCCCTCCCCCGAGGGAG